GCTAGATGTTGTATGAAACCATGATTTATAATAAAACAAGATTAATATAGTCCCAAGTACAGGGTCCTCAAAGACAAATTTAGTATATGTCAGAAATGTTCCATAAAGTGATCAAGAAGTCCACCAAATAGCCAAACTGGTTAGGTGAGCAAATAGCAAATTCCTTGTAGTAATGGTTTTATAATGTGCTTACCAGAACTACATACAAAATGCGCATTGTATGTATATAATCTGTAGAAGACATCAGGGTCTGGTCACCGGTATGATGTCATCAGAACGCCTTAGCAGACTCCCAGAGATGATATTTAGTCACGCTCCACCTCAGGACTCACCAATAGGTCCACCTCAGGGGGTTTATTTACTCACCAAAATAGGTCTACCGTTTCGCTCAGACACTAGATGTCGATCCACCTTAAGGAGGCTTTATTTGATTCTGACTTTATCAAAAGGAACCTTCTAAGCGTTACTTTCCAGCCATCCTTCTGAAGGAGCTCTGACAGAGCCAGCTCTGAGGAAAGTTTATATGTCAAATTGAAATGATTATATCTGCTGTGGAGGATGGCTGGAAAGTAACGCTTAGAAGGTTCCTGAACACATTGTTCAGCTTCTACAGTGGATTTCGAGGGATAGGGTGTGCTGTCTGTCAGGAGTGCCAGGATCTAAACAATTATAAAAGTAACATGTCAGTATGATTGAATTTCTATAAACTTGCTATGGCCTACACTGAAAAATTGATCTATTTACATACAGGCAAACCGAAATGAGGTTTCCCATAGAAATGCATTGATAACCAATTAATCCATTCCGGAGGTCAGAAAAAAAGTAAAAAAATGTCTTTTATGTGTTCGAAACTCTTTATAAAGTGCACTTTAAAGGCATAAATGCTGTACAGGGACATGATTAAAAATTTATTTGTAAATGCATTGAAAACCAATTAATCCGTTCCGGAGGTCAGAAAAAAGTAAAAAAAAAGTTTTATCTGTTCAAAACTGTTTATATAGTGCACTTTAAAGGCATAAAGGGACGTGATAAAAAAAAAAAAATTTGTAAATGCATTGAAAACCAATTAATCTGTTGCGGAGGTCAGAAAAAAGTAAAAAAAAGTCTTATCTGTTCAAAACTCTTTATAAAGTGTAATGAACCTAATGGAAATAAAAAAGGCCAAATTGCGGACTTTAGAGGCACTGCAACAAAAATATCATTAAAATCAATTTATTATTTGAATGTAGACCATTACATAATGCATAAAGGTTATTCCGCTAAGAATGCAAGACCCCCAGGGAGGGGTGGAGCATTCTATGCAGATTACAAAACTCGTCAATAATAGTTTAAAATTGATTCAGATATACCGTGTCCCGGTCAGCGTATCAAAAGACATAATTAACAACATTATATTATGTTATATTTATATCCAACTTTCTTTCATGTAGTAACTCCTGAAGAAGCGATACTCTCGCGAAACATGTTGAGTAACTACAGAGTAACAGTTACTGACATCTGATCTATGTCTTTTGATACTCTTACCAGGACACAGTATATTTGTATGCTGCAAGCAGGGCCCTCCTAACCCTCTTGTATTGAACTGTATCATTGCTGTATTGTCTCCCTTTATATTGTAAAGTGCTGAGTAAACTGTTGGCGCTATATAAATCCTGTATAATAATATTAATAATATATACACAAGCTGACTAAAGCAAATTTTCTATATACTGTATGTGAGTGGTTTTACATGTATAATTAAGTGCAGGCATTCTTATTGTCCAGCTGTTTCTGCCAAATAGTACAGCCTTTGCCAAGACCACTAGTGTGGCAACAAGGCTTGGTGAAGTATCTTGGTCAAAGCACTTGTCTGGCTACTGACTGGATGATGAAAGAAGAAGGAGCATGCTGATAGCGTCATCTGGATTGGATGATGAAGTAGAAGAGGCATACTGATGGGGCTATCCCTCTGCTCACTCCGTTGTCTCCTCTTGTCAACGAAAGACTGGACAAAATGTTCCTTTCCCTGGCCATATCTGTGCAGAAGATCACCATAGACTCTTATGGGGCCTTCTCCTGATCAGGGGCGGACTGACAACTCATGGGGCCCCCGGGCAATAGGGGATCATGGGGCCCCTGTGTCCTTGCCCAAACTCAAAAAAGCCTATAAAAAAGGTACCAGGAGCATCTCATGGGGCCCCCTACTGACCCCGGGCCCTCGGGCAGTGCCCGAGTTTCCAAATGGTCAGTCCGCCCCTGCTCCTGATACAGAAGATGTTCCAATAGATATCCAAGGGGTTTTAAAGTGCAGGTGTGCACAAAGGAAAAAAAAGGTTTTAACTAGAGGGGCAAAGTTCTGCTGCATGTAGTTGTCAGATTATTACAGTGAGGGACAGGGGGGGTCTAGTTTAGGTAAGGGGAAAGCAAAAGGTAACTGTAATTTCTGTGAAAGTACAGTTATTTAATCAGTTAGATTACCGCACAGTTGCTAAAAAACATGAAGGAAATTGTGCATTCAGACTGTATTGTGAATAGCTGCCTTAAGCCCTGGTTCACACTGATGCGGTGCAGAATTCGCAATGTTTTCTGTGCGAATTCCGCACCGCATCAGAATCATACCCCGTTCATGCAAACCGCTGTGGGTGTGTATGTTAACAACATCCCGAAAGCGGTCCACAAAACGCAGTGCGAGGTGCAAAATTGGATCGGATAAGTGTGAGTACCTATGCAATCCGATTCTAGTGCCGACCCAAAAAAGGGTCCTGCACATTTTTGGTGCGGGTGCGGTGCGAATCGAGCCATATAAAATGTATGGCTCCAATCACACCGCACACAAATCACATGTGAATTGCACAGGAATGCAGTGCGATTCCTGTGCGAATCACATGAGATATACCGCACCGCACATATGTGAACGCAGGGTTAGTGATCCACTTTCTTTTCTTTTCATATATACAACTATAATAGAATGCACAAATACACAAACAATAATGCCATCCCCTGATTTACCAAACATCTTCTAGAAAGCGCATCACTATCAACATTTTATATGCAAATAAGTCAATGTGGAAAACATGTTATTTTAGTACATAGAAATAAGACCATTTATGTATTTTTCAGAACTGCTGCAGAGCATTCTTACTATCAAAAGGTGTCTGTTCATCTGTGTCCTGCATGCATGCTCCCATGGGCTTTGAAATGGAAGAAACAGGTCTTAAGACAGGAGGAATGCTGTACAATTTGTCCTGTAAACAGAGCAAGATTGACATATTAGCCCAGCAAGTCCTTCTGCAGCCTCAGACCGCCTGCTGTTTTTTTTACTGTATATGTATTATGGGAAACTCCTTAAAGTCTTACAATTTTTTTATATTTTTTTTGTTTTTTGCACAAGGATTGCTAGTTGTTTCGCTAGGAACAATTAACCACTCGCCCTCCTGAAGATTTACTCCGTTGCCTGACCAGGCCATTTTTTGCAATATGGCGCTGCGTTTCTGTAACTGACAATTGCGCAGTCATACAATGCTGCACCCAAATGAAATGTATCTCCTTTTTTTCCTACGAATAGAGCTTTCTTTTAGTAGTATTTGATCGCCTGTGAGGTTTTTATATTTTGCACTATAAAAGAAAGAAAGACTGACAATTTTGAGAAAAAAAAAAACAATATTTTTTACTTTTTGCTATTAAACATGTCCAGTAAAAAAATTTCAAAAATCAAATTTCGGCATAAATTGAGGCTAAAACGTATTCTGCTACATGTCTTTGCTAAAACAAAATCCCAATACGTGTAAATTAATTATTTATTTTTTTAAGTCTGCAAAAGTGCGAAAAACAAAAAACCCGTAAGTGAACAAATAACGTGCTAGTGCAAAACCAACACAAAAAAGTGCACATAGGAGTGTGCTTTGTCCATCCCCCACAGGGGTAGGACCTCTACCCTGATCCCCCGGGGCGCGAGGCTCCTGACAGGGACTAAGGTTTCTACATTGGTCCGCCTAGCCAAAAGGCCTGGCGGACCCCTTTCCTTGTGGCTAGCCGAAGCCAGCCACCAAGTACTAGGTCAGGGGATTCTCCCGAAGAGAGACCCCCCAGAGACAGGGGAGAAAGGAACCAAAAGGCCACACATCCTCCCCCTAGACTTCAGGGTAGGCCCGAGGACCCACACCCTACCGTCCGTGAGAAAAAAACACACACATAAGTGAAAAGTGAAACAAACGTGGGAGAAAAAATAAATTAAATAAATAAGTAAGCAAAATAAAAAAGTGGCTGTGCAATTGTGCACTGGCTAGGCCCTGAGGCCTGTAGCATAAAAATTGCCGTGGACGTAGCCAAAAAGCCTAGCCCTAAAAGTCGCAGTGCAGATAAAGTGTTTTGGAGCAGTGACCATGTGCACGTTTCACACTTGGAATCCCATCCGCATGTGGTACTAGGAGCACCCCTGAGGCAACCATTAAGGGGGCACTGTTCAGCGGACTCTCTTCTTCCCCGGCCCCTGGCCAGACAAGGTAGATCAGTTCAACCCAGGAGGAACTGGGCCCTTCTGGCATTCCTGGGGGAATTACTCCCGGGCCCCAACTGCCTGTGGGCACCTCGGTTTCTGTTCCGGCCTGTATTAACCATCAGGGTCCCAATGCTTCCACCAGGGGTGTTATACAGCCAAACATACTCGTTAAGCAAGAATGATGGAGAAGCACCCACACTGGACACTGATAAGGACAGATACTACACTTGATCTTACCTGTAAATTAATTGGTTTATGTGAAAGTTATAGTGTTTGCAAATGGCGGTATATATACTGAATTTTTTTTTTATCACTTGTAATGGTGGCGATCACCAACTTATAGCGGGACTGCGGCGGGCATTCTGACACTGAGGTGAACTGACTTGGTGTCACTGACATCCCCAGTGACACCGGTACAGTGATCAGTGCTAATAAAAAGCACTGACACTGTACTAGTGGCACTAGGCAGGAAGGGGTTAACATCTGGGGCGATCAAAGGGTTAACTGTGTGATGTTTTACTATGGGGGCTGTGTGTCTGTTTCATTGTAAGCACATTGGTTTGTATGGCTCTGCTATGCAGAGCCATACAAAGCAGTGTGCAGGAGCTGACAGGATTACATACAGGTCTCTCCCCCATCGGAAATCCTTGGAGATTGCCATGTGCCGACGAGGAATCCCCGGCCGGAACCCAGTGATTAACAGCTGAGGCCGCGAATGGCAGCGTGTGCCCCCTACCCAGAACTGCAAAAATCACATATATACTGTATACACATGTGATTTTGCACACCCGTGCCACCCTGTAGCAGTATTTCTGCTATAGGGCAGCGTGGAAGTGGTTAAACCCCAATAGCTGGCTATATGCCTTGAACACGGCCCTCCACAGGCGTACAGTTATGTATGCCCCACGTGAATGAGACCTTAGTGTGAAAAATGTCTCAGGAAGCATTGTCAGTGGGTTTCTTGAATCCACACAATTTTTAAAATTATTTTTTTCTGCGTGCTGATAGGTGAGAAGTTGGTTAGGTATAAAGTTCTTATAGGCAGCTATCCATAAAGAGAACTCCAGGGGGTAAAGAACCCACTGGAAGGAAGGTATCCTTACTGTTTCATGCAGTTTAACTTATACAAAATTCTTATTTTATAAATTCTATATTAATTGCAAAATTATAAAAAATTTAAATATCATTACCCAAACAATTATTCAAATAAATATCTTATCTCTCAGGGCCCCTACAGTGGTCAAAATAGCAAATAAAAGTATGAGAGTCATATACAAAGAACTTGGAGCCTCTTCCTGCAGCCCAAAGAACAGATAGGGTATCGACATTCCAACAAGCTCATCCAGGCTAGCAGAAGAAAATCAGAAGACAGAAGGAGGAAGCACTGCACAGCAGAATCCATCCATTAAACAGAAAGGTGAAGATACAGCTTCAGCCTAAGCTCCTCCTGATTACACCCCTCTGACATGTTTCGTCCCTCCTGTGGGGCTCAATCATAGCGATCCCGCAAAAAATCATAGGGGAGTATTCAGGAAGAGCTTAGGCTGAAGCCGTATCTTCATCTTTCTGTATAGTGGCTCGATTCTGGTGTGCGGTGTTTCCTCCTTCTGTCTTCCAAAAGTATGAAAGTGCCACAGGTTTATGTAAGACCAGCAAATGTTTATTTATCTTGACAACAGGTCTGAGTATACTTATCCTACTTAGTTTGTGGCTCACAACTCCCCCTTCAACAGGGCTTGTCTACTGGCAGTTATTTTGGTAAGACCTTTGCCTTTTTCACAGTTCAGTATAGCCAAAAGACTGCCAGCCCATAAGCCATGATGAAGGGAAAGTTGTGAGTCCCTGAAATGCATTGGCTATGTCCCCAGACCTGTTGTCAAGATAAATATATTTTGCTGTACTTGATATAAACCTCCCCCATAGGAGCCACTTGTATCTTGTCCAGGCTTTACCCTAGATCTTCTCCCACAGCAAAACACACAGCATTTCCTATAGCCAGGTGCACACAACTTCCACTCGTTACTCAAATGATCAGTCTAATGCAGGCCATAGATGGGTTGAAAATCGGCCGAAAAAAAAAAAAAAAAATCGGCCGATTTTCGCACCATTAATTGGTAAATTGGACGGCCGTTTTTCTGGATTTTGTCAGATTTTTTTGATCAGTAAAGTTGGAAAAAAATCAGCCGATTTTGCTGATCGGCCGATTCTCACGGCAATGATGGGCAAATCGGCCGATCTTTTTACCGATAAAAAAATCTGCGCATGAGCTGTGACCTGCAAGACAAAAAGAAGAAGAGAAAAAAAATAAAAAGAAAAGAAGAAAAAAAAGAAGAAGAGAAAGAAGAAGAAGAGGAAGAAGAAGAAGAAGAGAAAGAAGAAGAAGAGAAAGAAAAAGGAGAAGAAGAGGAAGAGGAAGAAGAAGACGAGGAAGAAGAGAAAGAAGAAGAGAGAAAAAGAAGAAGAGAAAGAAAAAGAAGAAGAGAAAGAAAGAAAAAGAAGAAGAGAAAGAGAAAGAAAAAGAGAAAGAGAAAGAAAAAGAAGAAGAGAAAGAAAAAGAAGAAGAGAAAGAAAAAGAAGAAGAGAAAGAAAAAGAAGAAGAGAAAGAAAAAGAAGAAGAAGAGAAAGAAAAAGAAGAAGAAGAGAAAGAAAAAGAAGAAGAAGAGAAAGAAAAAGAAGAAGAAGAGAAAGAAAAAGAAGAAGAAGAGAAAGAAAAAGAAGAAGAAGAAAAAAAAAAGAAGAAGAAGAAAAGAAGAAGAAGAAGAGAAAGAAAGAAGAATTCCAGTCCTGTTATATTTGACATTAAAAAGTATTGCGGTTGCAACAATGTATCTACTTGTATCTGAAAAGAACCCCATCTGTATCCGAAATGGATATAAATAGATACAATGTTGCAACTGCAATACTTTTTAATGTCAAATATAATAGCGGGGCTCTCTGCAGGGACAGAAGTCATTAAATGCCGGCCGTAGACGGGAAGAAAATCAGCCGATTTTTTTTTACTGTTGGTGGTAACGTCGGCCTATTGAACGACCGATTTTTCATTTTTTTTGTTAAAAAAACAGCCGGTTTTCTCCCCGGCTATGACCTGCATAAGAGTTGCATTTTTTGTTGTTTTTATTTTATTTTATAACTGGGATAGGAAAGGGATATAGTGGGATACACCAAATAGAACTATGCACAACTGAGGACAGCTTTCTCTAAGTAGATCTGTGCAGCAGACTGTACAAGGAATGGAACAAAGTCCCTCTGTAGAAATGCAGAACTTAGTGGACAGTTGCTCTTCTGGACACCAGCTGGTGTCCCCTCTAGCTTACACCCAGAAACTGACTATATAGGTCCCAAGGGGGTTAAACAGCACAAGGCCCAGCATCCATGTAGAACAGTCTGTACTCACAAGGCCCTTGCCACAGGTCACCTTCCTCCGTGGTACCAGACAAGACCTGTAGACATCCCCCTCAGTCAGCTGTCAGAAGCACCCTGGGTTTCAGCATCCTGGCCCATAGGTCGCCTACCTGAGACCTCCTGGAAGCATGAGCCAGGGGAGGCTGCTTCCTCTCTGGCTAGAACTCCCTTCTCAGAGGAGGAGGAAGATGAACCCAGATGTGCTCACTGAATATAAATATGAGTACCCGGCATGTTCAGGGGCACCACTCCCTGTAATTGGCTGGAACTGCTTCCATATTCTTGCTGCTGATCTGCATGGGTCACTCCTGTTCACCCAGACCCTTCATGGTCACCTGGATACAGAGGAGCCAATCACAGCAACAGCAGCATTGTGAGGCACACAGAATATCCTCATTAAACAATTGTAGCTTTTCTGTTAAACAGGAGATCACACTATACTAAACTCGACTATACACATCCTAGCAACCTACTGTATGTACCCTGTTTCCTCGAAAATAAGACCTACCCTGAATATAAGACCTAGTACAATTTTTGGGTATTGTTAAAGTATAAGACATAGTTCGAAAATAAGACCTAGTTGTGATCTTTTTTCAGCCTGAACATGGCAGAAGGCCATTGCGCCACCTCCGGACTGGCCTTGTGCACACCAATATCTACTGTCTCTTATAAACGCAGAAGCGTGGCTTTTGTGTCTGCAAGTGACAGTCCCTCTTGTAAGTGACAGCACCATCCGCTCCCACAGAACCTCCCTACCTCTGTACTCACTGTGGGACAGGGAAGGAACAAATATCTGCGGGTGCAGTATGCAGTGTGTTTAGGGGTGGGGCATCTCGTCCTGCAGCCTAATGCATGGAAGCCGATGCCCCAGGGGGTGATCACCAACCAGTGGGGAAGAGGCGGAGCAGTGAGTGCGCTTGGTGCACTGTGTAGGAAGATAGGACCCAAAATGGGAGCTACTAGAGAGGGGCCGGCTGCTGACAATTGTGTTTTTCAAATCTAGCTAACCATATGAGGGCAGTGGAGGGGGGGGGGGGGGTGATGTGCATAGGTGAGTTGCAGTCAGGTGTTGCAGAGGTAAATTGACCGGTGAGTTGCAGACAGGGTGCATAGGTGAGCTGCGGCTGGGGGGGTGCAGAGGTGAGCTGAGTTGCTACCCACCTCTGCACCCCCCAGCCACAACTTGCCTCTGCACCCCCCAGCCACAACTTGCCTCTGCACCACCCAGGCACAGCTCACCTCTGCACCCCCCAGCCACAGCTCGCCTCTGCACCCCCCAGTCACAGCTTGCCTCTGCACCCTCCAGCCACAGCTTGCCTCTGCACCCCCCAGCCACAGCTCGCCTCTGCACCCCCCAGTCACAGCTTGCCTCTGCACCCTCCAGCCACAGCTTGCCTCTGCACTCCCCCAGGCACAGCTCACCTCTGCACACCCCAGCCACAGCTCGCCTCTGCAACCTCCAGCCACAGCTTGCCTCTGCACTCCCCCAGGTACAGCTCACCTCTGCACACCCCAGCCACAGCTCACCTCTGCACACCCCCAGCCACAGCTCGCCTCTGCACCCCCCAGTCACAGCTTGCCTCTGCAACCTCCAGCCACAGCTCACCTCTGCACCCCCCCAGGCACAGCTCACCTCTGCACCCCCCCAGCCACAGCTCGCCTCTGCAACCTCCAGCCACAGCTTGCCTCTGCACTCCCCCAGCAACAGCTCACCTCTGCACTCCCCCACCCACAGCTCACCTCTGCACCCCCCAGTCACAGCTTGCCTCTGCACCCTCCAGCCACAGCTTGCCTCTGCACTCCCCCAGGCACAGCTCACCTCTGCACACCCCAGCCACAGCTCGCCTCTGCAACCTCCAGCCACAGCTTGCCTCTGCACTCCCCCAGGTACAGCTCACCTCTGCACACCCCAGCCACAGCTCACCTCTGCACACCCCAGCCACAGCTCGCCTCTGCACCCCCCAGTCACAGCTTGCCTCTGCAACCTCCAGCCACAGCTCACCTCTGCACCCCCCCAGGCACAGCTCACCTCTGCACACCCCCCAGCCACAGCTCGCCTCTGCAACCTCCAGCCACAGCTTGCCTCTGCACTCCCCCAGCCACAGCTCACCTCTGCACTCCCCCAGCCACAGCTCACCTCTGCACTCCCCCAGCCACAGCTCACCTCTGCACCCCCCAGCCACAGCTTGCCTCTGCAACCTCCAGCCACAGCTTGCCTCTGCACCCCCCCAGGTACAGCTCACCAC